ATAAATGCTGATTTCTGGCTCCTCCTTAGGAATATGAGTTGAGTGATATGTAGGCAGGTAGTTGCTCCTTCTTCATGTGTGCTCCTAGCATTTAGGTTGCTGGATGTATCTGACTAGTTGGACAGATGGCCATGGAGAGCAGAACTTTCATAGGTTCTGTCTCAGTGGTGGACAGCAGTCATAAACTGTGTAATTTCCTGGGCAGGAGGTCTGATAGCCCAGGACCTCTCCCATGCAAATCCCCCTGAGAAGCAGCTGGGCAGCCACAGGTACTGCTGGTTGCTCTGGGATGCACCAGATGGGTGAAGACATCCTTCATGGGGTCCAGTTTTGAAAGCCTACAGAACTTCTGTACCTGGTACTGTCTTCCCCCTGGTTATCAGGCAGGTCAGCCAAGTCACTAGCTCTAAGCCCACTTATCCCCATGAAAACCTGAAGGGTTGGTGCTAGACAGACCCTCCCTGAACCCTCACTACAGATGAAATGTTTTGATTTCTGGCTTGGGAGTAATGTTTCAATGGATTATGTTTTGAGGAAAAGTTCTCCTTTTCTCCTTTCTCCTCTCTCCTCTGGAGGCTCGGGATACCTCTACCTCTGAGAAGCTCATTTCAGATTTTATTTTCTGATAAGTATCCTTTGCCTACTTTATTTATCCTATTCTGGTTGATACATGAGAGGGAGCTATGTAATCAAGGTGGTCACCAACTGACTCCACAGGTCCTCATGCCTCCCTCAGACCTAGCTCAAGATCTTTGTCCCTGGCTCTGTGTATCTTGCTTACTGGGACTCAGGGATAAAACCTGAGGAAGAGTGGCCTTTGCAGGAAGAGGTCAAGAGAACAAGTCAGGGGCTATGAATACCATGTTGTGGTTTGGATTTTAAACTCGAAGATTCATCTATTAAAGACATAGTCTCTGTTTCACAGCGCTGTTGTCAGATGATGGAACATTTGAGGAGATGAGGCCTAATGGAAGGGAATTAGGGTTCGGGGCCATTTTCTTGAAGTAAACATTGTGGCCTTAACACTTTGATTTATTTCTCCTTGTTTCTAGGATGCTATGAGTTTTAGTAGTTTTCATGTGTTCTCTGCCATGAAGTACAGCTCGGCCAAAGCCTGACAAGTATTCCCTTTTGTAGGAATCTTACCCATCACAGGGAAGTAACTATGGACAACAACCTCTGCCATGGTATGCTAAAGTAAAATTTTCTCCTTTAAAGTTGTTTTGATCAGATATTTTGTCACAATGACAGAAGGCCAAGTAGCTCAGAAAATTGGTACAGAGAATGAGATCATTGCTGCTATATCTACTTACGTGGTTCAGAAACCTTTGGAATTGGTTTATAGGAAGAGTTTGAAAGTGTTTGGAAATTTAGGCTAGAAAAACCCTAGAAAGCAGGAAGTAGGGCTGAGTAGATGATCTTGGTGAGAGCTCAGAAGACCAGAATGCTGATAGCAATGTGAAGAGTAAACACTGTGCTCATTAGGTTTCAGCTGTAAATAAGCACTTTATTGGGAATGAAACTAGAGGCCAGTAGTGCCTTCTCACAAGTATTATATCTTCAAAAATGACTTCCTTGCTAGGCTAACAGAGGCACAGCTGGAGATGTAGCTTAGTGTTAGAGCATTTGCTTAGTATGTACAAGGCCCTAGGCTCAATCCCCAGCACTGCAAAAAA